ATTTAGATACATTATGTAGGTAGGTACACTATACATGTTCGATTATAATTAACACTTTATAMTATTATRGTAGGCCTTATGTTACATGAATGCCTTGTAAATGTGAATACTTTTCAAACTTAAAGTAAACGCTTTTAATAAATATAGAATTTGATAATTATACCTACAGCCGAATATTTTTATATTCTGGTAAACATCAAATAAGCATGAAATGTATTCAAATGTAAATTTTATTTTCTGGTTTACAAAACAAGAAATATTATTATTGTGGGTCATAAGTTACGATAGTAAGTAACATATAACTTTGAAGTTCTCAGTATACGTAAAAATGAAACGTATGGTTATAAGTTACAAAGTACCTACCTATCTTATAGTATTTAAAACTATCAACTCRGCTGAAGATTTACAAAACTTTTAAAAGTCTACAACATATGTTACAAACTATACCTATATAATATATAAGGATACACCCTTTGTCTTTACTCATATATAGAGCAAACTCATCTGCCCAGGACCTRTGTTTTACCATGCGTAATGATAAGTACAAACTTTGATAACCCCTAAAATAATGACGTTGGTTTAAGTAATAACGTAATACTCAAAACTTATATGAGCACGCTTTAACCCTCTTAAAGCTGTTTTCACATTGACGCAATTATAAGAATACGTCTGCTATTATAGACGAAGCATAAGGTACCTAAATACGCGTTTCGAAATCACGAAAAATAATTACGATCTAAATTACGACTATTATATTATAGGGAGTTTATTACATTTTTTAACAACCGCTCAAATTTATTATGATAAAAGTAGATACCATTAAAAGTTAAAGTGTRATTTGATGTATACATTTCATATCATGAAACCATTAAGCATAATACCAATTGCTGAAGCATGTGATTAATTATTCATAGTGATTCATTCATGTGTGTGATTAAAAATCAATAAATTAAAACAYGAGGATGAGACGTATCGATAAACGTGTGAAATAACGGACCGATGATGAGAAAACATATAATAATCAATAATTTTATCTAATATAAGCAATAATATAATAATGCAATATCATTATGTTTTATTCACAGTCGTTTTGTTCTGCATACTCGTATTTCATTAACAATATTTTATTGRCGGTATTTGAAAAACGTTTGAGATTGAGATGTTATATAATATCGTATTGGACTTCTCCRCCATAATATATCAACCGAAGAATAATAACCCTATATATATAGCAACTGATATATAGGTACGTGTATAGTGACACTCGAAGTCTTTCTCACAATATGTGTATAATAAATAAATATATATAAACATTATATGTATACGTATTTTATTATTGTTACTGCGTACAAGGGAATACTAACCCGAGAGAACGTAGAAAGCCAAAGAAACGGTGTTATATATATATATATGTAGCTGTAAATATAATATAATGATACTTTCGTTTACTGTCACTGCATCGAGAGCAATATTCAACCTCTTTTGTTGGCAAAAAAATTCCCAAAAGCAGTTTTTCCAACAGTCAAAACCGATTTCGCATTTAATAATACACAAAMTATTTTTAATTAACTTAAAACAAATTTAAATTGATTTTTATGTGTATTCCAAAGTATACATATTTGATATAAAACAATTACCCATGGTTTATCAAATATCACACGAATAACCACAGTGGACCACTGATCACTTGCAGAGAATCCAATAACTGTAGACCTTTGACTTGTCTTTGGAGATGTATTTTTGAGAAGACTAGAATAATAAGATAATATACGTATCTTGATATTGTTATACAATATTCATA